GAGAGACACTCATTTAACACATCTCATATTTTTGAGAGTGATAATGATCGGGGATGGAATCATGCAAAACAATCTTACATGCATTCGGTATAAATATTAACTTTAACTTCCATGACACTAACTGCCTGCTTGTTATAACAAAGCTTACATTTGCAAATAATTATCTTACAATATCTGCAAATTGATGTCAGTGACACCTGTGACTTATTTATATAGGTAATGATTTCGTTATTATTGTTAGGAGAGTTAAAGCATTGAGTAAGTTATTCTTCTGGGTAGGACCATCCATTGCATCTCAAATTCTGTGTCAATGTCTCTAACAAAGAACTAGCTTTAAGCATCTTGACAACAAAGATCAGCAATATTTTAGTCTCTAACAGGTGCTGGTAATAACTGTTTTCGTCTCTAACAGGTACTCTTGAGACTACCAATATTTTAGCAAAATCAACAGCAAAGCAGGAAATGGTTCTACAAAATCACCAATCAAATAATTAACACCTCAAACTAAATAGATTTAAAGCCTTTCACCAATCAAAATTGATATAAACTGAAAGACTAACCTTGAATCTGTCTTCAACAGATTTCGTGGTTCAAGAAATACATAGAATGGACAATGAATGTAAATTAATGAGATGATAAAAATATGTCCAATTCATGTAAACACCAACTCAAGGGAATATAAAGAATAGCAAATTATTATGTAAATTTAATTCCAAATCCTAAAAGCAAAGAATCCGAAGATGCAGTCCACTGCAATTCTGAAAACCAGCTATATCTTGTTCTAAGAACCAGATTCACCACAAGAATATTTTTATGCAATTATGTTTTGTAAGAATCTTAAATTGCACAAAAACAACTATATATTGTTCTAAAAAATTTGAATTCCCCCACAGGAATATTTTCAACTAATCAATCAAAATCTATATCTACTGACTTCATACTAACCTCTTCTTCTTCCATCTTTTAAGACTTCGAATTGGAGATTTGGATTTTTTGGGAATGATTAAATAGCAGATGGTAGCGAAGCAGTCGGATTTTGGAATGAAGAAGAAGACTTTCCTAGGTAACGTGAATTGGGGATTTGGAAAACAAGGTTTTAAAGCAAAAGAAATAACCAAGTTGGTTCAATTGCAAACTGGTTGGCGGTTGGGCTAAAAACCCGCCGGTTCGACGGGTTTCCAACCGGTGGTTTGTCTACCATTAAAACTACCTGACTCGGACTGGACCTGGGTCCGATTCGACGGTTCTTGGGTTGAACCGGCTGGTCCAGTCCGGATTTTATAACTATGCTTTCTTGAAGTCTATGACGAAGTTACGAATCATTCAAATTTTGAGTTTGTTTATAAGTTTATTTGATTTGCTTTAAGTAGAAAGTTCAGAAAAAGGATCAATAGTAGGAAAGAAAT